GTTCTTTTTTATTTACATATTTAAATAATTCAGAACATTGAGCCGTCAGCTCAGGGCTTAATCTGAGTATGGTGATGTTAAGGTTATTTTGCGTACTAATAAAAAATGGATAACTCAGAATAGTTTATTCAAAGGAATGGATAGAGCACGCAAGGTAGAAAAAGTAGCTTCATCCAAATTGACATCAAGCCCCGTCTTCTTGCAAGAAGTCCTAATTCTAAATAGTCGTCATTAATTTAAAGACAGATCAATGCAGTGCTGATATTAAGGAATGATTTGCCACCTTTACTCAGCCATCATTATGTACAATAAGCCGGCTTACGCCGAAGACTAACCAACTGTAGAGCCCTAGTCACATCGGCTGTCCACTGAATTTGACTAGAGGTGATGCTAAGCTGGCCAGGCCATTCACGAACTAGCTTCTCACGCTTTGTAGCGGCTTTCTTTAAAGGTGATCGGCAATCGCGAAGCATCTCACGTAAAGTTCTCCGCATTGCCTCCTCAACATCACCTAACCAGGCTTCAACAGGTCCATCTAGACGAACACGCGTCTTAAAAGGCACTTCTTCGCCGTCTGCAGAGAACATCGAGATAGCATCATAGATATTGGGTCCGGGCTGTAAAAGGTATCAGAAAGAACCCAGTTGATAGCCAAAGTAAAAGCAGATGTGAATGGGAAAATATTAACTAGATCCAAGGGAAAACATCAAAAATTAAAATAAGATATATCATAGTGGAATAACTATATATTTAAACACCCAGAAAAGAAGCAGGTTAGGTAGGCATAATCTCCAGAAATAGACAGGATAGGAAAACATTTACACCAGGCTGTATAGGATAAATTATGAAAATTTCAGGAATTTTTTGATTGCAATAGAAAGGTAGCTTCAATATTCAGATTAGGCTAGCTTTACAGACCATGGGTATCGAAACCAACAAATATTTATTACTTCAGATTTTTGCTGTAGGAATAGAAGAAAATAAACCAGCGAAGATATGCAAAAAGATTTATGATAACTTAAACTATGAATCTTGCAGAATTCATTTATTTATTTTTGAATAATCATCCTCAAGGGAGAAAACATATTATTTGGTTATATAAAACACAATAATTTAGTCCAAGGTTGGAAGTTAAAACGAGACAGGTAAAGGGCATAGGCCGTGATAGGTGGTAAATTCTGGAGTTCTGTTGCGACAGGATATAAGTTAGTCAGCTTGCGTGCGCAAAATAATGCAGTATACAACAATAAATAGGTTAACCAAAAGAGAGTAACAAAATTAAAACGGAACGGAAAAAGCCTACAATAACAATAACATAAACATGTAGCCGGAAA